TGCCATGGCATTACAGGTCACAGCAATCTCAAACTCCTAAGCTGAAGCGATCCTCTTGCATTAGCCTCCTGAGTAGCCGGAACTACAGGTGCCTACTGCAACACCCATCTATTTTTTAGAGATGGGGTCTCGCTCTTGCTCAGAATGGTCTCAAGCTCCTGAGCTCAGGCAATCTACCTGTCTCAGCCTCCCAGAGTGCTAAGGTTACAGGCATGAGCCACGGGGCCTGGCTGCTTTATGTATCTTAAAAATCTCAAATGTTTAAGGAAAGCAAAACTAGGAGCAACTGTACAGAGCTCTGGATCAATAGTGGGACAAAGGTGTATAGCCCAGTGAGATTTTGAAGAGGAAAGTGTGTATGGTGAGAGGTCCAAGGACTTGACCAGGTGGATAAACCTGGGCTTCTCTTTGAGGGAAGTCATAATGTTGTGTAACCTAATCTCAGAAGTTACAGCCCATCACTTTTGCCATAATCTGTTGGTTAGGAGCAAGTCACTGGACCCAGCACTCACATCAGAGGAGGGGCATAGACAAAAGTCTCAATTCTAGGAGGTGGAGATCATTGGGAGCCAGCTTCACAAACCAAGAAAGTTAGTAACTTCCTTAAGGTCATCAAGTAGTATGCTGAAGAAGGATTCACACCCAGAGTAGCTTTCCCCTTTAATCACTAAGCATATAAACAAAGTCATGTTGAATCATATTTACTACACAGGGTGTAGTACACAGGCTACTACACAGGGTGACCATAAAGTTCATGTGCAACTATGTGGCTCAGCGCCTGTGGCTCAAGCGGCTAAGGCACCAGCCACATACGCCTGAGCTGGTGGGTTGGAATCCAGCACAGACCTGCCAAACAACAATGACGGCTGCAACAAAAAAATAGCCAGGCAGGCGTTATAGTGGGCACCTATAGTCCCAGCTACTTGGGAAAGGGAGGAAGGAGACTCATTTGAGCCCAGGAGTTAGAGGTTGCTGTGAGCTGTGATGCTACTGTATTCCACCCAGGGCAATAGCTTGAGGCTCTGTCTCAAAAAAGAAAGTCAACTATGGGGTGGCGCCTGTGGCTCAAAGGAGTAGGCTGTTGGCCCACCCAGCACGGGCCAAAAACTATTTTAAAAAAAATAGATAAAACAGTCAACCATGGTGCTCATGTATTCTCTCCTTTAATCTTCACAACAGACCTGCAAAGTTGGTTAATATAGTCCCCAAGGGTAACAGATGAGAATTGATAAATGAATCAGGCTATATAACCATGTAGCCAAGGCCACCAAGTGGCTTAGTCTACTACCAATCCTCACCCAAGAGGGGAGAGGAGTAGAGGAGGTTTGGCCTGGCTATGGGAGGGGGAGGTGCTCTAGGCAGCCCACTTCTGCGC